GCATGCTCATCGCGCGCTTTTTTGCGTCTCGCGGCGACAGGAACAACACCTTGTCCGTCTACTGCTTGGTCGCTTCACCGAGGACGCGCCATTTTCATCCTCGAAGGAGCATAGGTGAGTGAGACAATGAATCCGTTAGTCACCTCCAGTTGAATGATGCTGTTACAAGAATCACTTACCACGCGCTATTGAATTGCACCATCAGGCCGCAGGCCCTAGATGAAAATAGACACAGATCACATAAGAACCGACTTCATTCTATTCAACTCCATTTCGGACGAAAAGCATCTATTCCCATTCTATTTTCCCCAGCGCTGCCGCCATTCCATTCCCATTCCATTCCGGAATTGCGAAAGTGCGGAATGATTCCGGAATCATTCCACCTCTGGAGTGGCAACTCCGCAACACTGTTTTATACGGTATTCTTTTGAGGAAAATCTTTCGCTAGCCCCAAGTGGGTACCGTCCAAAATGAGTCGACCCAGCACATGCAAATAACAAGCCCCTTGATGATTTCTTCAATAGCCAAATCATTTAAAGTACGTGACGCCCCTCTGACTGGTAGGACGGTCACAGCATATTTGATATGATTCGTTGTCGGGAAGATAACACCTAGCATTCAGTTCCTCATGAAATTTGTTATCGAAGAAAAGCAAATCGTGACCACCATGACGCCATGACACCCAATAAAATAACGATCAGGGCACAAGCACAAATGGTACACGCGATTCCAGCTAGAAAAAGCGATACAATCAACAAAAGCAACGCGAGGAATTAAACTTTAGTCTAAGGCTCAAATTTATTCATTTGGTGCGTGGTCGAGGTGTGCAGTTATAAATGAAATCAGATGAATTTCACGCCGCGGCCCACGAGCAGTCACAGTCCTGCTGGTGTCTGTAACTTGTGCTGTGTCCAGGTTGGTTATCTCCAGGACGTGGTCGAAGAACACTTACACTCGAGCTGTTGTGTGCGCTGCGTTCACGTTGATTGCCCTCAAGACGCGGACAACGAATACTCACAGTCCTGCTGTTGTCTTGTAGCTTGCGCTGCGTCCACGTTGGTTATCTCCCGTTTCTTTGTCGGTCAGCGGCCCTCCCGGCCACTGACCACGCACGTCATTCCTCGGATTGATTCCTCTCCCCAACCATTCCCCTCTATTCCCGAAAATTTTCTCAGCGCTCCCAGGATCTGAGCCAGCCAGCCCTGAAAGTCCGGCGACGCGAAGACCGGCTGCCACCCCCGGTAGCCCTCGGCAAGAGGCCCCGGAGCAGGCACGCTCTATCGCTCTCCCTTTTTTTCTCCCCCTTCAAACCAGTTCGCCACTTCGCTATGCAGTGTGAACAGGTTCGCATGCCGCTACGCTCAAACCTGTAAACAGTGTAACTAGGACGGTGAGAAGCTTCATCAAACTAGTGGGCAGGTTGGTTATACTAGTAGAAGAAGTTTTGAACCGGTTACCGGTGTGGTTGAACGGGCGCCATCATGAACCAATTCAAAATTCGTTTTTTTTTTGTTTTTTTTTTTTCAGTGGGGCAGTGTTTTATTTATTGCGTGGAATGGAAGCATTAAACACCTCGGGTGTTTTTTCACTTGTGTGCATGCGCTTACATTCAAGAGTTTCAAAAAGTCGGTGCAGCAAGCCTTTGAACCTTCCGTAGATTTTAACGTGGCATGCTGCGGGCTGGGTGTTCCGCGGTCAGTCACCTACAAGTTATACCATTCAGGCTTGATCAATGTTTTTTTTTTTTTGTCTTGTGAAATGTGTTGAGGGCCCAACGACGATTTCTACTCATACGGCTACGAACAGCTTAAACCGAATTTCCACTGCCTGCTGCCGAGCCGAAGGGGCTACTGTACGGTCATCGGTACGTGCTGTGTTATGCACAACATCGTGCAAATCCACACCTCTAAGGAGGATGACAGCGAGCTGGTGGCCGGGGTGTCCTTGACACCCCACCTCTGAAAAAAACAAAACAAAAAACAACGGGATCGCTGGTTGATGTGTTGAACAACATGTTGGTTTTGAGTTTCAATATTCCGGACTTATGCGTACATTGGCATTGTTTTCAGAGGTCTCGAGATGTCAGTTCTCATCGCCGTCACTTACGTTTTGAAGTTATGAAATGCTAGAATATGACTGGTGCCAATACGATAAAAATACTAAAGAAATAATGCAATGTTGATAGATTTAGTCACTACATTATCTTTATATATCTGTAATTTTCGCAGCTCGAGAGGCACTGCCTCTCGAGCTGAATAATATCCTGATTCAAAACGGTAGCCTGCCTTCCGGCTGCCGAGCCTCCATACGGTAAGCAGGGCCTCCAGACAAGTCGCGGATGAAGATACCACTGCTGGCATCTGCCCGCTAAGGCCGGTTGTGCAGCAGCAGAAGCTGGTTCGCCAGACTAAGATCGTTCCTCAGCGTTTGGGCGAGGCGCTTCCAGGCGTGGCAGAGCAGCTGCTGCCACGGTTCTAAGGGCGCCTCATCCACGTCCATCAGCCAGTCCGGAGGCTCATAGTCTTGTGAAGATTGTGACCGCGGCACCTCAAGGAAGAAAACCCCGAGGGCCACCTAGACATCGTAGCTAAAGGCCCAACTTTTTGGCCTTTTGAAGATTGTGACCGCGGCACCTCAAGGAAGAAAACCCCGAGGGCCACCTAGACATCGTAGCTAAAGGCCCAACTTTTTGGCCTTGTTGATTGCTACCTGCATTTCGACTGCGACTGTAAAGGCCTAATGACAATACACAAGACTCTCTGCCTTGTCACCCCTGTACATAGTTCGCAAACACCCATATTTTTTTTTCAGTGAACATATTTTCCCTGTACATGTGTATCAAGCTCGAGTCTCCGTCCCTAGGTTGTTGAGGATATTGTGAAAGAGCTGTGCTCGAATGGAGCCAGTGTACAGTAAGCAGATTAAGCCCGATTTTATCTTTTGCTATTGGTAGATCTGAAAGTAGCTGGACTGGAGTGGAGCCAGTGTACAGTGTTCAAGCAGGCCACCCTAGTTTCTGGTGGTCAAAAGACTGCCCTGTTCCCTTGCAGGCTTGCTCAACGTGAATTGAAATGCTATCTTAGAAAATGATATTCGGTGCCTAGTACATTAGCTGAAAACCATATTTAAGCTGACTTTTTAAAGCGTATTCTCAGGATGACTTTCTATTGGTGGTTTTCAAGAATAATACTGCTAGTGCGTAATATACGTGATGGAAAAGTTAAGAAAGTTTGCCGTCATCATGCGCTCAGCTACAACATGCTCATCTATGATCGCCAGTAAATACCACCTATGGAATGAGCAAGATGTAAAATCACCAACCTCGCAGATACGTATTGAGGTAACATACTGTATTAGCTTAGAGCTTGCATTCGATTCACTTTGGACGTCAATACAATAAACCTGAACAAAATGAGGTCCAACTATTGTGTTGATGACTTTTGGAACTACGTAGATGTAGTGTGTTGGACATGAAATAATTCATTTGTTTTGCTGCTTGCCATGTTTTGCCATGACTTTGGGTGGAGTAGTGGAAACACAATATCCTTTGTCTTGTTAAAAATGCATAACATTCTCTAAAAATTCCCTCATAGCGATACAGCAGTGTACTATCCTTATTATTTTATCAGAAAGGACCTTTCATTGAGTTTTGAGTTTTAACACAAGTAACATGGTTTAAAGTTTGAGTATTCTGGAACTTATTTTAGGTCCATACCTAGCACTGGAATTCGCCATTACCTTGACGTTGGTCAACATCGGTAATGTATCCAGACGCTCGCCATTTTCAAAAATGCTTTGAAATATGACGTTCATCGGGAGTTGACGTTTTGGAAAACTGGTTGCTTTTCTAACTGTTTTAAACACAACACATATCATTACACAAAGTATAGATTTCATCACAAACGCGAATTGGTCACATGGTGATAGACTGAAGATGGTCTCAACAAGACTACGTACTAAGTCCTGCTTTCGGTTGACTCTTGAATGCGTGGCGCTGTATTTGGGCTAGTAATTCCACCCGAAAAATGACGTGTAATTATGGTGAACTTATTCGTATTTGCTTTCCCGAAATTAAACAGCTAAACAGTGACGCTATTATAATGACTAGATTCTTACTTGACGTTGAGCGCTGTGCACGTTTCAAGAGAACCGGGGCACTTGACCCGTTGCACACACAGTGAGAGGATAAATTCATGAATGTGCAGGTGCACGGTGTCACCTATAAGCGAGGCTGCCAGTAGAAAAAATAATTTAAATAGGGACAATGATGGCACTGATGTCCCGCAAGAAAACAAATCGTATAACGTGATTACGAAATCGCCAAACCGAAAACGAGACAATCGTAGCAGGCTTTCCTGTCGAAGACCTCAATCGCGTGGATCAGCCTCTAAACACTCGCTTTCCCGACAGAATTCACCCGGCAAAAATAAGTTTTATCCCGTGCGCATAGTCTTTCCGCCCTGCTTTTTGCTTGGTTTGAGCCCTCCAGTGAACCTGCTCCGAGCTGTCTTGCTATTCGAAACTCGATCTGAGACAAATCCTCGGTTTTTCTCTCAGCGAGTCTCAGATTTAAGCAAGTGACTTGGCTTCGGATGTCTCAGTTTGAGCGTTTCTTGACTCACTTCGACGTTCTAATTTGTTTTAGCAAGTGCTCAAGGAACGGTGGGCGTTGTGCTCGGTTTGCAGGCGATGCGATTGTGGCCTTAACCAATAAGAACGCCGAAGAACAAAGCCAAAACCTTGATCACCTGGAAGCCACGCCTGTCGTAAGCTGTCAAGAACTCTAGTCGCAAACATCAGAAATATGCATTATTATGATTATTATATGTGCTTTTTCAACGTTATTTAACATCCTTTATCATAGTTTAGCAGTATAATTCTCCACTTTCGATTTGTTCAGTAACGCTACGGTCCTAATTGCCACGTACCAAACGCCGGGTGCATGGGTTCCGAGTACGCGTTAGAAAAAAAGAGCGCAAGAAAAGGTCGCAAAGGGGCACCTGCACCAGAGCCATGTTGCCCACGGCGACGTCCCACTGCTGTCTGACGGTCTTCATGCGACCCAGGTTGGCCTGGGTGGACAACCTTGCGGCCAGAGTCATCTCCAGGTTTCCCTTGAGTCCGAGCAGCGGGGGCACCACGATGAACAGCTCGGTGATGTGCCTGAAGGCGGGCCACGACTGCACAGCGTCCAAGATGAGTCCCGCGAACACCGTGCCCAGTCCCCCGAGCAGGAAGGGCAGCGCCGCCTGCTTGAAGATGCTGACGAGAGGCTCCTCGGTCACCGTTCGCTCCATCGCCGAACGTTCGCAGTCACTGTCGTCTCCGTCCACGATGAATTCTGCCTTCCGTGGTGGCTCGAGGTTGAGGTTCTCGTCGATCGCTCCGTTGGCGTCCAGCAGGCCGATCACGTTACCGTTGGTAAAGGCGTGTCCATCCTGGGTGACGTTCTTCTCTGAATCGCCGTGGCTGCCGTCCGGTCCGGCACAGGAGGACAACCTGCATGTCTCCAGGGCTGAGTGTGCCTTGACGCCGTTCCGCATGTCCATTTGGGGCCCCGTCTTTAGCCCCAGGGATTGCTGAAAGAACAAAAGCAACTCTGATTTGAGGCTTTTTCAGCCTGCTCTATTTTTATTTATTAACGTGGTAACGAGACCCTTCTCTATTAGAGTCTCGAATTTCCTCGAAAAATAAATAAAACATCGAGTTGAGATTCGATCATGACGGGTGAGGAACTAGACACGTCACCGAACTTCCGGTGAAGTTGCAAGTACCCAAATTCACCTTTATCTTTCGGGGCTATGCCGTTACGTGCAACATGAAGACCAGCCCGCCATTCAATAAAAACTTTCAGCGCCACCACCACCGCCAGCTGAAAAGAAAGGCTCCTAGTGGCAACTTTTTTTACAGTGGTAACAGCCAAATGTTGCAGAAAACTTCATCCTATACTTCCGCTCACAAGTTGAAAAAAATCATTTTGAAACGTTTATAAGTTCTTATCTTGTTGCGCTGACGCTGCTGCCACCTAGCGTTTAGATTTTATTCGTCTGTCTATCATAGTTCTATACTCGCAGCAGGTTTCGCTAGACTGTGAGATCTGAAGAAAGAAAATATACTAAAATACTTAGGTGGGCTATTTGGTTCAACATATTTAAATTATAAAGCGCAAGGGACACACGCGGACATGAAGAAGACGGGACAGCGCTATCCTGTCTCCTTCATGTCCGTGTCTGTCCATTCCGCTTTATAATTTTAATATGTTGAAGGAAGACTTGAAGCAAGAGCTCCAATACCTCCGTAATGCTTTTGAGAAAGTATATATATTGAGCTGCCTGCGCTGGTTAACCAGGCAGCAGTCTCAGAACTTTTAATAATGCAATAAAAGCAATCAGATTATTTTGATAATCGATAATTTTTGACATTGTTAGAATTTTTAAGAAGCTTGGATATTGTCTGGATTGTACAGTCCGTGTTTTTGTTTTCAAAAACGTATGTTATAAAGCATAAAATAGCCCTCTGTAAGCATCAGAAACAAAATTATTGCATTTTTCTTGCCCACTTCATATGAGCACCAAAAATACATCTGTGTGACGACCCATTGCTGTAGAGTGTTCTCGGGTAGCAGAGGATTATCCTACATATTCTGTCACCATGACTATAAAAAGGGGGCTGTTGCGCTTCTTAATATAGCAAGCTGCTGTCTGTCCGCGTCAAGATGTGACTCTAGATATTACTTTTTTTTTCCCATTGTCATTTGGTCTGCGTCGTTACGGCGTAGATATGAATTTTGAAGAACACTTTTTAATCTTAGGGCAAACAAACAAGGAGGGCTGTTAGAATGACCTGTGAATCTTGAAATTGATTGTCAGGTTGTCGCTGTCACAGCATATTTGCACACAAATTCCGATGGTGTTGTAACAAAATGGACTGGCCGGAAAGCCGACAAGCTTTATCATCGGTTCGCATTTCAGGAGCGGTACAATATGCATTGTTGTATCCGTTTCTCCAAAAGAGAAATGAAAGCTCCTTCCTTCTCAATTCTGGAACGGGGAAGATCCCGTGACTATTTACACTTGCTTGAAAGGAACGCGTTCCCGCTACATTCCTAATATTGGAACGTTTTTCTTTATTAACGTTCCTTTTGCATATGCTAATCGAATATACGTTAGATAATCTGTTGATAATATAAAGCAAGTAAACATATCCATATCAAACTACGTGTCAAGCCGCCATACTCATATCTTTCCAGTTTCTAGTTTTCTATACTCTCAAATACTTACCCATCCCTCGAAGTCGGACGTTGATATAGTCGCCGATAAGAATCCTAGATGTTTTATGAATTTCGGTAAAATTGCGAATAAACAAGAAAAAGACAACACCAAGTGCGCTCAGATTGACTACGGTGGCTGCTGCGCTGTGTAAAGGCATGATGAAGGAGATTGGCCTTCAACCAGTGTGCCGGACAATGCTTGCAATTTCATCCCTAAAAGAAGGAGAGCAAAGTTCCTCCCTCGTCTGCATCTTATTATGGTGGCCCCGAACTGAACGAATTAAGCTCAATAAGGCTTAGCGACGACGCTACATCTATTGTACCACTCTACGCAAAACACTGCTGTAAGTAAACCGAAAATTGTTGGCATAGTTTTCAAACATCCAAGGAAATACCTGTGGCTACTAAGTCCTGACGCCCCCCCCCCCCCCCCCCCCCCTTCCTCTTTCATCTTTCCCGATTGCCTGCAAGCAGCTGTCTCAAGAAAAGCACTCAGCTGCTTCGCACCCGTCTAAACAAGTCACTGCTTTCGGGGCGAGGGGAGTAGCGAATAAAAAAATGAAAGGCGCTTACAATTCTCTGTAATGCCGGATTAGAGCGCAGGTTTTGAGGAGGAGGAGGGAAGGGTGTGGAGGGAAACTTACCGGGAAATTCAGAAATATTTTCCTGGTAAATTCCCCCGCTAAATTTGGCGGGAAATTTCCCTGCTAAATTTATCGAGGAAATTTCCCCGCTAACTTAAGCGAAAAAATTTCCCGCCAAATTTAGGCGCCGTGTGACGTCACTCTTGTGACCCTCTTGACATCCCTCGTGACCCTTTTGACGTCACTTGTGACCCTTGTGATGTCACTTGTGACCCCTGTGACGTCACGTGTGATGTCATTATGAGAAACGTCCCATAATGCAACGCGCGGTTACGCCGACGATATCGGCGACGGCGACGACGAGGCCGCTCGAGCCGGAAACGGGCGCATAAGACCTGCGCTCTAAAACGTAAGACGACGTTTTCGCGAACTGTATTTATTGCCAAAGTCACCTTCCCGCGTAGGTAAGAAAACTTTCTCTTCGAAAGCAGTCACCCAGTCTTATCTATATCAACACCACGATATTAAATGGAGACAACCAAATTCCGGCACCTTCGCGCACTTCACATTTTACTTTTTTGATTCCTCGAGCCACAATTCCTTGCCAGCATCGCATGTCACGGAGGAGTGGTAAACCATTCGCCAAACTAAAAGCACCTCTCAAAAGAGGTAATTAAAAGCAGCCTCTTTGCTCGTCCTTGCATGGTAACCAGAGATTTGGTATTGTGAAGTATGAAAGAATTTTAAATCGCTTGCCATTAAATGGCAGGGTCAAGCAGAGTAATTGCAAGTAGTTTTGCTAGGTGGCGCTAGATACCACCCAATTTACAGGTCACAAAAATATTTTGATCGCTCGCGCCACCGTTTCGCTTCAGGCATCTTTAATACACCCACCCATGTATGTACATACATCACGCGTACCAGAAACAGCCGAACACACACAACGAGTGCCTTCACATACACGCCACAAATAAACAAGAGCATAAACGCACGCTTCCCCGATTACTAATTCCGAACACTGCGCCTCCACTTTTTATTCTCTTCGTTTGCATGTACGGATTTCCTAGATTATCACCTAAGCAATACATAATGTTCCTAGTATGTAGATTTTGTCCCAGTAACGTTATTTCTCAGAAAGTATTTGCAACGGCCCAAGGGAGTAGTCTCTTAGTAAAAAGTAAACGTTCATGCCGTAATTATTTGAGACAGCCGATAAAATGGCCCGCTCAGATGCGGTTCCTAGCAGCCACGTGTTCGCTTTCCCGCAAGCACGTCGAGGAGCACGTTTTTGTATCGAATATTTATTTCTGCATTGTTAGTGTGATACTTCAGTGTTCGTAATGAAGTAACCATTGTAAAGGGGGTATTCATACAGCTGGAAGCGGGCTTCACGGGCAGGAAAATCACTTTTCCACCAGCATGTATGCGGTTAAAACCGCGATTTGTGGCAGGTGTTGTGTATGGCAGGCGACGCCGTGGTGAATTCGCAAACAAGATTTTCTGCCACAAGCCGACTGTTGATTGAAACCTACACGGCTATAACACGAAGAAACTTTTCCTAGAACAGCATCGGTCTTTTAGGTTGATTTCGTTTATTGCTAATATACTCAACTGTAAATAAACGTACTTTCCGACATATTTCAAGATCGTTCAGCACTTGCCCAAGAGCGCAATCGCTCTCGAGCAGGGCACAAATGGAAATTGCAAGCGATAGTTAGATTGGCCCATATGATAGGAGTATACGATTCAGAGCAGCGTCCCAAGATGAGCCGCATGTCGATCGATTGCACATAATCCCTTATGCGGTCCTCTCGAAGTCTTTAATGGAAAGCGGAATGTCGACCTGCGGCGGTCTAGGTCATCTCATCTTGCTGTCACACCACTGGTATGCGAAAATAATGGTGACATCACCGAGTCGACGATCAAGTCTTCGTTCACAACGCACACTTCCATGACAATGTGTTTGGTGACACACTTAGGGCCGAAGGTTCTCTTGTGCCGCTGTAGAATTTTCGTTCCTCCTCACACTCTGTTTTCAATTTTTCCTTTTCGTTTTTTTCTTTATTCGCATTTATCTCTGTCGAAAGAAAAAGAAGAGCATGTACTTGCGCGTGCCACTGTGTGCGCGTGGAAGTTCCAGTAAACCTTCGGTTGTTAGCATATGTCCTGTCAAAGCCTCCTCTATATTCACAAAGCCTGGCAGTTCGACGACGGATCCATAGAGCGCACGGTCGCAGACTTGGAGCGCGAAGATCTAGTAGCACAGAGTCTTTTTCGGGGAACTTGGACGTCAGCGCACAGCTTTTGCAGCGGCGAATACCCTAAACATGGTTGTTGAACCCAACGAGAGAAGAAGCGGTAGCTCGAGGAACGGAAGGAGCACGAGCGGACATTCCATCGCTCGGGAGAAGTGTGTTTCGGCGCCTCGCCGCAGCGGGGCGCTTGTCACGTGGCTCTCCACTCATCCGTCGTCTGCCGCTCTACCTTTTCAATTTCGGTGGCCGCCTCTCGTGGCGGTCTGCCATGCTTTGTCAGTATTGAAGAGGCTATGGTCCTGTGCGCGTCTTCTGCTTTGTGTCCCGTCTTTTTTGCGCCGTCTTTCATTATGTATTTTGGCTGCACTGCGGGAAACCTGGTTCGGTGGCGGTGGCGCCCAATGAAATTTGCTATGAGTAAGGCCAGCTCAGTTGACCTGAATGATTGTTAGCAGCTCAATGACTGTTGG